CCCCCCCCCCGCTTCGAAGCCGTTAATTCAAACATCGACTCCACGAACGTCTGCCGGGTTCCTGTGTGCCGTTCTCGGTGCTAGTCCTTGGGGATAGGCCCCTAACGTCTTGGAGCTCAGTTTGACGGGTAACCGCAGAAGGGAGGATACGGGAAGGTTAAAATCGATTGAGAGGCGTGGCTTTTTCTCTCTGTTATTTCGCATGAATTTTGCCTAAAATGTACTTTTAAATGGGGAAGGTGCTCTGAAGATGTGAGCTGAAACGCCATCTACTCGAGATTTAACTAATTGTTCTCTCCTCTCTCTGGCTGTTGGACGCGCACCTTTCCGGAGGATGGGGGAGGTAATCAAGGTCCTGTGCTGTTACCTGAACTTGTGTAAACAGAGAACCTCAACCTTTGCTTTCTAATACTCAGGCCACACCCAGCAAAGCGTTCACTTACTCTGTGGTTTTTAATTTTTTAGTGTTTTAAGAATAACCGGTGGTGCTTGTTTTCACAAAGTACATTAGGGCAGATCTTTAGGACGGCGGTGGGGCCCAGGAATCTGCATTCTGGGCCAATTGACCAATAATGTAGCCATTGGCCACATGTGGCTATTGAGTACTTGAAATATACCTAGTTCAAATTGAGGTGTTTCAAAGACTTGGTATGGGGAGGTGTAGATGTTTTATTAGTGAATTTGTATACTGATTGGTGAAAAGGTAATACTTGGTGTGTAGCATGTCAAATAAATATATTACTAATAGTTAACTTTATCTGTTAACCAAGATTTTTTGTAATGCAGCTACTAGAAAATTTTAGAGTACTCTTGTAGCTGGCACTCTTTCTATTGGACAGTGCTGCTCTTGGTGACCGTAATGGGGGCAGTCCAGGGACCCCTGTTGAGCATTCAGAGACTGTGACTTTAGAGTCAAGAGTTTATGTGGGAGAAGAGCCTCCAGAGCCTCTCTTCTAACATTAGCTAACGTTTATTGAGCCTTAACTAGGTGCCAAATTAACTCCTTTATGGGTTAATTTGGTTTATGTCCCTGATAACTATGAGGTGTAGGAACTGTCTGTGTCACTGTACTGCTGATGAGAACTTGAGGCTCAGAAAGGTTAAGTGATTTGCCCAAGGTCACACAACAGAGCTTTGAATCAAACCCAGGCAGGCTGACTCCAGGCTCTTAACCATTGAATTATACTCACTGATTGTCCAAGGACACTAACATTATCCAATGTTGCCTGCTGGGTGTCTATAGTACCTTATTATTTTAAGACAAAACATCTTAAAAAATTTTATAGCCCTGGAAAAGAGCAGCAAAGGTGACATTCTCTTTTGTACTTTCACTTGCATGTCCAAAGCTGGGTACTCTTTTCTTCAGTCAGAATGTTTATCCAGCATTTTGGCATCACTGTTCACGTGGAAACAGGATCCCGATTGGTGTGCTGTGTCCAAGTTACTTACAGGAAGGTGAGCTAGAGGTAGTTGAGGCTGACATCCCAAGATCTTTACTTGCAACTCAAGCAGATTGTACAAAACCTCACTGGAAAAACTAAAGACAACAGTCCCGAGGAAACAGGGCACATAATTAATTGTTTGTTCTTGAGTAATATTTACTAATGCTCGTTCACTGAGTACATGGCAGTCCAGGCACTTGGCTAAACCCTTACATGTAGTAACTCATCCAATTCCAATGTCTACTTTTTTCCCTCCAACATTTTATTTTTGAAAAAATGTGAACATACAGAAAAGCTGAAAAAAATTTGTGCAGTGAATAGCCACGTCACCACCACCTAGATTCTACATGATACATTTCTGTTAACATTTGCTTTATTTATATCTAGCCACCCATCAATCTTATTTTTTCTTGCATTTCAAAGTAAGTTGCAGACTTTGGTATACTTCCCCCATAACACTTTCATATGCATATCATTAACATTAGTCGATGTTTACAATGACTACTCTTTAACGGCTTATTTTACTGCTTTTTAAATGTTCATGGGGAACGTTTCATTTGTTTGTGTTTGGGTATTAAATGTTTTGATGCCTGTACCAGTCACTTTTGAAATGGTTTTTGCTTCCAGTCATATCATATATTCAGTGTATCCTACAAAGATTACAGCAATGAAACAAGAAATCTAATCCTATCAGTTGGGTTTTTCTCTGTTCTGCATGCAAATGTGGTGCTGTAGTATTTCTAAAGGACTGTGGAGGGCTCATCACCAAACTTAAGAATGAAAAACGGGTATTGTACCGCCTGTAAAATAACAGGACACCACCATCCACACCGTTCCTTAAGAAAAAGACAAGCTGAGGTGACGGTTCTACCTGTGCCTCCTGTGGGGGCGGGATTCCCCCCCTGAGGAAACAGTGCTGGTCCCCCGTGTGTTCCTGGCTTTGTGGATGCTTGCTGCTTACTGTGTTCCTTGCTGCCTTCTCCTGTGCTCAGCTTTTGACTGCAAAGTAGATATGTTGCCTTGCCAATTTACTCTGTAAATCCTTTTATCTTGTTATTAGGCTGCACTTTGGCGTAAATTGCAATCGATTAGGGATCGTTTCTCAGACTCAAGTTAGAAGTGAGAGTTCAGATAAGTGAGGCCGCCATTGCTGCTTTGAACACCTCAGAAGGGGAGAATGGATTTATCAGGAGTGAAAAAGAAGAGCTTGCTAGGAGTCAAAGAAAATAATAAAAAGTCCAGCACTAGGTAATCCTTCTGTTAGATTTTTCTAGTGCTACTTTGGGGGTGCTCATTGCTAGGGACCCTCAGAAAGGGGGAAATTGGAAATGTCTTGAATTTTACAGTGAAAGTGTCCTAAGCCACAGATATTTTGCCCTGTGATTGCCTGGGATTTGTGTAGCCCTTTGGGGTTGTGCTGTTGTTTCAGGGTTCAGTCACAGGGGCATGTAATCTCATACTCTTCCTCACTATCCAGGGCTCCTTCTCCTACCAAACGCAAAGACCGCTCTGATGAGAAGTCCAAGGATCGCTCTAAAGATAAGGGGGCCACCAAGGAGTCAAGCGAGAAGGATCGTGGCAGGGATAAAACTCGAAAGAGACGCAGTGCTTCCAGTGGTAGCAGCAGCACCAGGTGGGGCTGACGGGTTAGAGCACTGCCAGGGCCTCGCGTCCACAGCCGTGTCCCTCTTCCTTCCCAAAGAGCCTGCAGAGTGTTCTGTCTTCTTATAAAGGAAACACACTCAGATTTTTAATAGAGACTCTAATTTACGGCAAACTGGTTTGGGGTTTGCTCTGATTATATACAGAGGATGGTGTTGGGATTTTTTCTTTTCTGGAGATGTTAAGGAATGGGACATCTTGGGGTATGCTTTTCTCTCAAGTGTTTTTGATTTGGAGTTGTGCTTGGATTGCCCTTGCCTGGAGCTTCCTTTTTCTTCTGTTGAAAACCAGCCTGCGTTAGTCAGTAGCTGCCTTCCAAGCTGAGTTGGTGGCTCTGACTTGCCAGGCTCCTCCCTTACCTCCCAGTAGGTAAGGCTTCTGTGTAGGCTGGAAGCAGCTCATTCTTCCTTCCCTATCACTACACAATATGTATGCTGTTTTCTGTCCCTACCAAGGGCTTTGGCTTAGGGCAGGGATTGGAGGATGTCAGTGTTTGCCCCGCTGGGGAAAGCAGTGGGGCTTGAAAATACGAGGCCATCTTGGGAGCATGTGCAGGCTTGTCTGTTCAGTGAAGAAATGCTGCTCCCACCACTTGTCTGTGACCCCCTCCCTCTTGCCCCTCAGGTCTCGGTCCAGCTCTACCTCCAGCTCAGGCTCCAGCACCAGCACGGGCTCCAGCAGCGGATCCAGCTCATCTTCAGCATCAAGCCGCTCAGGAAGTTCCAGCACATCCCGCAGCTCCAGCTCCAGCAGCTCCTCTGGCTCTCCAAGTCCTTCTCGGCGCAGGCATGACAACAGGCGGCGTTCCCGCTCCAAGTGAGCTCCCTTCCAGCACCACTTCTCCACTCGGGAGTAATTGGCTTGGGGGCTCTCCCCCAAAACCTGTGAATTACCTGGGGACCTAAATTAACAAACCGGGGGCTGTAAAGTTACCGTAGTTATTATAAAAATAGACTAAAAAAGGAGTTTTACTGTCTTAATAGGATTTTTTATTTTTTCAATCAGATCCAAACCACCCAAAAGAGATGAAAAGGAAAGGAAAAGGCGGAGCCCTTCCCCTAAACCCACCAAAGTGCACATTGGAAGGCTCACCAGGAATGTAACCAAGGTGAGGAATCCTGTTTCTGTCCAGTGGACAGTGGGGTGTGTCTCTTTTGCAAATTTTCAAAGTGGAAAACTGGAGAAGCAAGCTTCTGCCAGAAGGTGAACTTAGAATGTAGCATTTCGGAGGGCTGACTTGGTGATACGTGACCAAGTAGAGCACTGGTTAATTCATTTTAATGGGATATATTATATGTATGTGTTTAGGAGATTTACCCCCAGGTGCCAAGGTTGTAGTCATTGTGTAGTGGGTTCTCTGACTCTTACACAAGTGATTAGTGGGTGAGCATTAGTGACGCTTCTTTCTCCCTAGGATCATATCATGGAGATATTCTCCACCTATGGGAAAATTAAAATGATCGACATGCCTGTAGAAAGGATGCACCCCCATCTGTCTAAAGGCTATGCATATGTGGAGTTTGAGAATCCAGATGAGGCCGAGAAGGCGCTGAAGCACATGGACGGAGGTGAGTTAAGCCCTGCCAGCTCCCCTCTGAAC